CATCATAATCCACAAGTGCAAGAAAGTACATAAACATGCTCCACAGCACTCTCTCAGTTCATGTGGGATCAAGGCCCAACATGTGCTCCGTGTGGGCAGGGTATATGCTCCAAAATGTAACCCAGAATCCTCTTGCAACACACAGGAATCCTGTGGTAGTCACACAGGCAGAGAAACCAAGGCCGAAAGACTTCTGCTCAAGGCAGAAAGTTTGACACGTCACTGAAACAGCGGGATGGAACTTGAAAGCAATGTTTGTCCAAACCATGTTGCGAGGCAGGCCCATAATCCACTAGCTAGCCACCCAGCAATCACTGCAACCTAGAACACTGTATGGTACGACTAGAAAACACCGTGGAGAGATGATTATAGTGCAAGTAATTAAAGATGGCTTCAATGAGGGGGCCAAGTTGCATGTCAGAAGACAGTGTGCATCTAGCTTGTCCCATTGGCTCATGCAGAATTCCAACCCCTGCCAATTTCCCATAATCTCCCTCTTTCCCCATGCCCGCTTCCACACATCATCACTCTAATGCATTTTGGATGTTTTAGAAGTCAATGGCAAAAATGAAATGGATTCATGTTTGAATTTGCATGGTGCTAGTAGTTAAGAAGTTGGACATTACCATTGCAGCGGAAGGACGGTCGACATTTTCCTTTCCCTTTTTTTTTTGTCCTATCAGATGCAGAGTACAGAAGCAGACAGACGGAGCAAGAGTCCCTCACACAGAAATTTTCCTTGCTTCAGTGACTGCTTTGCTATAGGGCAAGCTTAAGAAGCAAAAGGTAAGACTCCCCCACTAGAAAGAAGAAAGGAGGGGGGAACAAGAGAGGAAGAATGGTTGCAAAATCAGGACAGACAAGCAATCGTCAAGAGAGCAAAGAAATTAGAAACGTTTTCTTAGGCTTTGACAGTTCCCCACAGGCAGAAAAACAGCATCTGGATAGTTTACGTGACTGCCAGTTTTGCATTTTACATACTTAATCAGCCAAAGCTGTACAAAACACATGAAATCTTCTGCTGAAATAAAGTTAGTTTGAATGATAAATAAGGTCATGGACATTGGACCACATTACCTTGGATCCTGAATGAGAGTAGCAACTGTACTATGTTGTCCCAGATATGCCTAAAGTGCACATGCTTCCTAGACTATCAATCTCCCCTTTCCTGGCAAACTTTGGACATATTGTCAACAAAATACCATTAAGGCAGTGAATCCAAAACACACAAGACAGTTCTGTTGAAATCTGTGGTTCCCCCACCCCCAAAGAATTGCATTTAGGATCACTGTTTCTAAGAAAGCATTTAGTGTGGTAAAATGAGAGAACTGAAAACACAATTAAGAAACACGATTAAAAAGGGCCATGCATCCACCCTCTATGCTGTTACGAGAACCAAGATTTGAAGGAGAAGAGAAACTCAGATTCAGAGGACCAATAAGCATTTTCCTCTCAAGACAATAATCTGAAGTAACTTTTAGCTCAGTGGTTCTCAACCTTCCTAATGCCCGCGACCCTTTAATACAGTTCCTCATGTTGTGGTGACCCCCAACCGTAAAATTATTTTCGCTGCTACTTCATAACTGTAATTTTGCGACTGTTTTCCGATGGTCTTAGGCGACCCCTGTGAAAGGGTCGTTCGACCCCCAAAGGGGTCGCGACCCACAGGTTGAGTCAAAGACTGTATTTTCAATGACCTCTCAATATGGTATCCAGAAGGCAAGTAGCAACATAGCTTACAGAAAGCACATGTTTAGCACAAGTATACTGTGAAAATATTGGAAGCATACCCGGAAAAATTAAGTCTCCATTGTGGATGCTTCTATAACCTGCACATCCCTAGCCTGTCCTTTCCATTTCTCTCCCAACATATAAGCAGTGTGATGTCATCCCAAGGGAGGGAGTCAGAACGCATGGAGATTCTGTGACACCACTGGCATTTCAGCTGATGGGCACAGGGCCCGGGGTATCCTAGAAGCATCACCCTTCTTCAGAAAGCACCTCTCATGCAGCCCTGTATCTAGGGAATTTGGGGGGAGGGGGCCTCGGGGGGCCTGCCAGCTAATTAAATGAAAGCATAGTGCAGGTGGTAAGTTGGAGCACCTTAGGGGCAGTCCAGCAGGGAGGGGGGCTAGAAGAAACACTAGGGGGCTGGGCCCCGTGGGCCCCATGTTAGCTACGGGCCAGCTCTCATGCTTGACCTATGACTAATTAGACAGAAGGAGCGACTATCCTGCTGTGGTAAGAAGGATGCTTGCCAGTGCACCCTTTGTATGGGGACAAGACTGAGAGGGAGGGAGGATCTTTTTGAGTGCTACAGTCAAGTATGCCTCCCAATTTTAATAAGGAACAGAAACTCCTGTGTTCCCGAGTACCAAATATTTAGGGAACTGCTGCAATAAATGAGGGTAATTTCACAATTTCTTCAGTGAAATCTTATTGTCCCAGCAAGACTGACTGTTGCTTTAAAAAAAAAAAGGGGGAAAGACTGCTTATGCAGAGGCTTTAAAAACCAAAGTTCCCCATGTCGAAAACTGATCGAACACTACTGGCTTGCGACAGATGTGTCACGCGGCACGGCTGACCTGCGAAACTGGCACTGGAGAGGCTCTTCCTTATAAGCTCATGAAGGTCAAGTAAGTTTACAGTCCGCATTCGTTGTGTTTCCTGTTGTCCCTGACTGCGCACAAAGCAGTTGCATTGCCAAGGCTCAGGAAGACACGCCCAGAGTATTATGTACAACTGACAAATCCTGCACACTCACAAAGGCTCTCGGTGCTAAGTTGGTTTTTAATAATCAGAGGGCACAACTAAACTTCTTAAAAGATGCTGCATATACCTTTCTCAGAAAGGTACCCATGACCAAGTATTTCAAGCTGAAAATACTTGCATTACAAGCTGCAACAATATGCTATGAAGCCAGCATTGATACAAAACAAGTGGTAGGTACTATGGAACCTGAACCAGGAGCAGTGTAACCTCTAAGCTGAGTTAGTGTGAGCTAGCTCAGTTTTTTAGCCTCTGGCTCATATATTTTTGCCTTAGCTCAGGAAAGATAGCTCCAGAGCAAACTAATTTATGCAGCAGCCAAACCACTCACTCACAACTTTAATGCCAGTAGCTCACAAAGTAGAATTTTGCTCACAAGACTTAACAACTTAGAGGGAGCATTGGAGCCCTGCTTTTTGGCCTCCCTGCACAATGAGCGCTGACGATCAGAAAAGGGAAGTACAGGCAATTTCAGTGCCCACTTGCAAAACAGTTAAGAATCCTCCAAACCTGGAGAATCAGGTGACATCAGATGGCCAATCTGAAGCCACTGTCTGATATAAAGCTCCCTGACAGGCTACCTTTCCTCACAGTCACAACACGTCTGGGCCTGTAGCTACAGTGGGGTATTGGGGGCTCTGGCCCCTTCCTTAAAGGGCCAGCCCACAAGATTTTTTGAGAAGAAGCAGGGGATGGTGCGCGCCCCTCTCCCTCCCTCCTGCAACACTTAAAGGCCCCTCCAGCTGATTGGTGGGCCACATGCTCCTGGCCGATCCGCTGAAAGACCCTTTAAATCTTGCAGGAGGGGAGGGAGAGGAGTGGTCACCTGTGGTTGGGCCTGGGGGCGGATTGAAGCTGACATAAAACTAGTGGCAGCCCCGCCAGAAATTTTTTTTGCCCCACAAGTCACAAAATCCTGGCTAAGGGCCTGCAATATGTTGCTTCTGAAGGAGGGCTCCAGATTCTCCCTTTCCACCAAACAGGCAGCCTTCAGTACAGCCTATGCCTGCCCAAGATACCTGGCCAGCTCCTCAGCCCATGCCTAAGATTCGTCCACTTTTAGCAATTAATGGCACCGCAAAAGGGAGAAGATATTCTGCTCATGAAGGTGCAGGTGCCATTGTTTTAAACATCACAGGGATAAGATGATGAGCTATCAACTGACTTAACTGGAACACCTTAGTAGCTCTAGCAATTATCGTAACTAAAGGCAGAATTGAGATAAACGTATTCTAGGGACTCGTCCCATGACCAGAGAGGGACACGGGGGGAGGGGGGAGGAGAGAAAGACCCTCATTAGCCAACAACAACATTTGTTGGTATTGGGCCATATAATCACCCGACTCTTGTGTTTCTTAAACTTTGTACACCCAGTTCAGTAGTTTTTCTCTTTCAATCGGGGCTTTATGTGATAATCCAAGCTGGTGAGAAACAATATTCGTTTTTTGCTCCCCTCAGAAGATTTGTCTGTGTAATTCGTGTAGATATATGTTTGTGTAAAGACATATGGAGTATGTCACTCTTCCACTTCTGGAGAGTTACCCGTTCCAGTTTTGTGTTAAAATATGTGGTGGCAGTGATGGTGGGAAGAGACTGCCATTTCCTTTGAGATACATAAATTGACAAGTGACAAGGACAGCTCATCCATTCGGGATTTTTTTAAAAAAAACATGAAGTTAAAACAAAATCTGACTAAAGGACAGATGAGGCCTCTTCCTACATGCTGCCTATCATATGAGTTCCCAATGGGGACAACTAGATCCACAGCCCACCAAAAACTTCTCTGAGGAACCGCTTGCATGGCCAGCCCACCACATCTGAGTTTTAGAAGGGCAGTAACAACTTTACAATGACATCTGGATAGCTGCAGGGAGACCAGCCAGATTTTATCTAGCTCTTAGCCGATTTATGGATCTCTGCTGGTTGCATATTACTCGGTGTCATAATTAATAGACAGTTGTTATTACAATGTTAATGGAAATTGTTAGCTGCTTTGTAAACCTTGCAGTCCCCCCCCCCCGAAATGAAAATAATTTAGCAAAGGTTATCGGTTTTGTTAGCTGCTCGCCAAGCAAGATCTTTCTGCCTAGTTTTTTAGAAGGTTCTCATTCCACAGGTACTTATTTGTTTTCTTGGGAAAATATCAAATAGTAATCCGAAACGGCACAAGGAGCATGCACATACCCCTATTATGTAATCACTACACAACATAGACTCTACTGATCTCTTACCTGGTTAATTACATATATACCATAATCAAGCTGTTGCCTTTGAAGGATCGGATGCAGATAGTACAGCCAGTATTTCAAGTGTTCATCCCGGTTTCTGAATGGGATAATAATAGCTACTTTCTGCAGTGCTATGCAGTCCTTTGGGGTGTAGCGGCCTCCGTTCCTCACGTTTGAGTTTTCCTCCTCCACCTTCTTCATGTTCACAGTCTGAGAGAACTCTATGCGCAACGGGCCAACTGCAAGAAGAGCACAGAACACACGATGGTATAGTAACAACAATTGTATGGGATTCTTGATGTCCTGTTAAGAAGCCCACGATTCTTGAGGAGTCTCCTCAGAACAGCAGTAGGCGCCAAGAATTTATTTCAGGATACCTTGTGAAGAAATGCATTTTTTTCTTTGGGTTTGAAATGAGCAAAACCTTCACTCTGAGTTTTAAAAGCTTTTTTCCCTATCTCTGGGCAGAAAACTTAAATGCTTTCCAGACTTACCACAGCCCACCTTCATACAAATGCTAACAGGTCTAGACAATGGGATGGTCAAGCTCCCCTGCCCCTTTCAGGCAGGGAACAGAGACTTAGAGGCATTAAATACAAGAGAGTCTTCAGGAAGGAAGATCTGGAGGAGGAGGCTATTAACCATATGCTGGCCTGGAGAGCTGGAGGAAGCTTCAAGGTAATGGTACTCTGTAGAGATCTGTAACTTCCTAAACTAAGAAGCTTGTCTTGTATTTTAATAACTGATAGGGCATATGGGGGGGGAGAAGAATTGCATTTTACCCATTTCTTTTGAATCCCTTGCTCAATCTAGTGCTGTGCTAAAGTATACTTGTGAACATATTCTTTTAAATAAATACTTCATAATTTTTTATGTTGGTAGGCATTCTCTGTACCACATAGACCTCCACCATCTTGGACACACTATTTTAAAATGAGTGCCAGGGGGAAGGCCAGCAGTTGGCAAGTGGTTATTCCTCCGGAGGTGCACAAGGCAGTAAACTGTCTCCAATGTGATCAGGCAGCAGAAGACACAGAGGCAAAGCTCAGAACTTGGAAGTGAAACTAGGGAGTCCGGACCCTCCCAGTGGGCAATTCCTTACAAAGGTCAGGTGGTGGCAGTGGTTACCCAAGAGAGAAGGAAAAGCCTCTCCAGATGTTGGAAAAACTTCGGAGGGCAAGGTGGAACAGGGCTGGAGCAGGCCCATTCCATCATTATGATGCATTTTAAAGTTATGATTCAGTAGCAGCCTCTTAGGATCTCACCCTGGCACTGGGTAAATAATGGCATACCATTTTACCATACAGCTACACCCAACATGCAGTAAATGTTCTTACCACCTGACAGGAGGATCCAGATCATCCCGTTATCCCAGAGTAAGACTCTCCTTAGAGTGGTTTAGTCACCTGTACAAGCTCAAACAACTGTCCTATCACAGAGGGACACATCTTCAAAAGCTCCCACTCCATTGGAAGCTGTCAGTATTCAGCCATTTTAATTCCTTTCTCTGAAGCATAAGGGATGGCTCTACTGTGTGTGTGTGTGGGGGGGGTAGTTAGATTTTTACTACAAGTTTAAGAATTTCCTCTTGAGGAAATCTCCCCAACAGGAAATGTTCTTAGCCTTGTAGTACAAATAAAGGGCTTTGCTTTCATCCTCACAAAGAAGGGGTGGAGGAGGAAATCACTTCCAAGAAGCACAGAACAGTAATGGATGTCTCCAACATGGTGGGCTGGAGTTTTTGTGGAAGCCACAGCCAATTGGTCCAGCCAAGACACCTATAACAGCTGTCTGTGGGTGGGGTGTTCATATATTGCAGGGGCTCATCTTGCTCCTTGGCCAACCAATGACAGGGGAGGCACCTGGCGTCACCCCCTGGGCCCATACCATTCGCTACGGGGTCCAGAATAACATTCACGTGCCTGGGAAGTGAGGAATTACCTTGCCCGAGCGGACAAAATACCTTGAACTGACCCTGCTCATGGAACACTCCATCCCCTTGTATGACATACTAGCAGGCCTTGGCGTACAGTTTGGGAATCACTGTTTCAAAGTAAGAGTTCTATCTAGTTTTAGGAATTTCCCCTTGGTCAGTGATCAGCCTTGTAATATTAGCTTATATTATCTCTGTACTATCCTTCCCCGAGTGGAAAAGGAAGCTGAATTTGAGAGTAGCTCTTCAAACCACTGCGCTCCATCAACAAATGTATATGACTCCCTCCAAATTTGTTTATCTAAAGTTTCCCCTTGCTCAGCAGACATTCTTGCTTGTCCCTGATCTCCATTTGTGATATTCCATAAATAATCTGGACAAAAAGCCTAATATGAAAAGAGGCTTTTAGCTTAGAGGCCTCTGCCTTTAGTGAAGAGAGGCCAAAAATATGATCTTTTGAGGCTTCTTATTTCAAATCCCTCAAGGCTTTAGCTTGAGAGAAACGTCATTATTTTTTTTTAAAGAAAACTGAAATTAGACGTGGTACAAGAAGAGCTGCGGTGGCTCAAGTGGTTAAGACACTGAACTGCAGGCTGTGGAAGGTCAGTAGTTCAGCAGTTCGAGACCCAGGTGCTGCATGACGGAGTGAGCTCCCGTCTCTAGTTCCAGCTCCTGCCAACCTTGCAGTTCGAAAGCAAGAAATTGCAAGTAGATAAATAGGTTCCACTTCAGTGGGAAGGGAACAGCGTTCCGTGCGCCTTGGCGTTTAGTCATGCCGGCCACATGACCACGGAAACGTCTTCGGACAGCGCTGGCTCTTCGGCTTTGAACTGGAGATGAGCACCGCAACCCTAGAGTCGGACTCGACTGGCTTTTGAGCAAGGGAACCTTTACCTTTACCTTTTACAAGAAGATGCTTTAGGACAGAAATATGAGACAGAAATAAAGGCAGTGCCGATGCAATGTTTATCAATCACAATTAGGGTCACCAACCTCCAGGTGGTGGCTGGATATCTCCTGGGATGATAACTGATATCCAGGAGACAGAGAACAGTTCCCCTGGAGAAAACAGCCGCTTCGGAAGGTGGATTCTATGGCATTATAGCCTACTGAAGTCCTTCCCTTCCCCAAATCCCACCCTGCTCAGGCTTCAGGCCCCCCCCCAAATCTCCAGGTATTTCCCAACCTGGAGCTGGCAACCCTCATAAGAATTAAGGTTTCGGGCCACCAGAGGTTAAAATGCTCAGTTAGAAGTACACCCAGATGAGGGTTAACTACAATTCATATCAGTGCAAATAGAATTCTGATCCAAAGCTGAAAGAAGGCATTCAGATGCAAGAGGGTCAGAGACCAGGACAGAGGCTTGCAGAGCCCCGTTCCTTACAGATTACAGGCCTCAATCAGTCCTGTTGACTGCCACTCAGCCTGGCCACTGAGGCTGAATAATAAACTCCTTCAGGCAGAGGCGCTTTTCTAAACTGAAAGCAGAGTTGTTTCTTTGGCACCCCTTTTCAGCACAGGTGCGCCTACGCAAATAAAGCATGAGCAGGCCCTGGCTAGTGGCAGTATTCGTGACTGTACCTGCAATGCCTGCCCCTATGCCGAAAGAAAATCACAGTGCCATCCTAAGCAGAGTTACGTTGACTTCAGTGGACTTAGAAGGGTCTGTTGAGAGTTAGCACTGTCGGCGAAGTCTCCTGGGTGTGGTAACTTTGCTGGAGCCAGAGACCCTCATCCAAAGACCAATGCACAGCTGGTTTTAAGATACCAGGCACAGATTTGTTCAGTCATTCGGAAACCCTCTTGAACAACTGCCACTAACATCTCTGTGTTTCTCTTAACGGACTGACCACATGCAAAACAAAACCTCTTTTGGGTTGAGCTTGCCCACTGAAACAAAGCACTTCCTCGAGAACCTTTATCAAAATTTTCTCTCGCATGTGCACAGCACTTACAAGTCTTTCAAAAATGGCACCTTAAAAGGCCTGGGAGTGTCTCCTGTAGTGCGGGGGGGGGGGGGCCCAAGAACTAACCATATTTATCATGCTTTGAAAACTTTGGGGACACTTTTTATTATTTTGATATTCACACCCTGTTTTCCCTCACCAATGGGAGCCCAAAGCAGCTTACAACACCATTCGCTGCTCCTCCATTTTATCTTCACAGCAACAACATTGTGCAGCTGATTAGGCTGAGAGACAGGTTAGGCTGAGAGCCCAAGGTCATGCGCTGAACTTAAGGCCAAACTGGACACGACAGTGGCACATGTGTGTGAGGCCTTAAACACGGATTTGCCTCAATTGCATAGGAAGCGAAAGTGTAGATGTCTATTTTTATAAGTGGAACAAAATTAAATGAGGTATCACCAACGTACCCACCCCATAACATCCTTCCATTTCACCTCCCCCTGGAGTTATTCTCCGCTGTTGAACTTCAATACTAGAAGCTAGCTAGGGTGGGAAACAAAGCCCTCCATGAAGATAAATGATGGCCAAGGAAGGATTTGATGTTGTTCACCCACACACATGCAGTTAGCAGTTAATTAGGATCGCTGCTCTTTGAGCTCCTTGAGTGACCTTGGGCATGCCACTCACACAGCCTATCCTAACTCACAGTGTGATTGCAAAGATAAGATAACCACTACGGTGCCCTTGAAATGTGTTTGGAAACTTCCACTGGCGCAGAATGCTGCAGCCCAGGATGTTGACTGGAGGGGGTCATACGGACCATATCACCCTAGTCTCCGCCCA